TGTGCGGGGCCCGCGCCGGGCGCTGCATCGTGGTGCACGGAGCCGGGTAGGCCGCGCTGGCGCCTTCCGGGAGGCTCCGCGCTACGGGGGGCGCGCTGGGACACGCCGCAGAGCCTCGTTCTGAACCGCCCCCCCAGGGCGGGTCACAAGAGCGGGGGCGGGGCTGGGGCTGGCCTACAGACAGGGTTGAGGCGCGCTGCGCTGTGCTGCACTAGGAGTCCCGGAGGTCCCTGATGGACTTAAAGCGCCAGAGGCGCGGTGCTCCTGGCAGGGGTAGCACCAGACCGGTTTGTCATTCCCTGTAACTTAAACCAGTGACTTTCCCCACGTAGGAAATATCTTGGAAGAAAAAGGTTCGTGGCATTTGAGCGCCAGACGGCGTCCGCAGACTTCCATTCTGCTCCCAGAGGAGCAAGCGGGAGAGATGTTTGAGGACTGAGAATAATAGGTGCTTCCAATGGAGAATATCTTTCTGTCTTTTTCTTCTGAATATTTCCAAGTTTGAGTCCGGCTGCTTTGAACGCGGAGAGCTCCTCAGGCCGGCTTTGTGCACCAAAATACAAGAGCTGGGTTTTGGGGGTGGGCTGTTAAGCTCTTCACGGTTTTCTGGCGGGTGGAATTGCTCAGCAGAAAACAACCGCTCGAGCACACGATGTTTTGTCACTGTGGCGATGTGTAGGGGGCACCGCTCACCCATGTCTGGGGATGGTGCTTGGCACCGTCGATCTAAAGGACACTGGGCACATCTACGTGAGACGCTTTGAGTGCGTTGGACTAAATCTACTGAGCATTAGCATGGCAGGAAAAGCCTGTGCTAATGCGCGGTAGATTTAGTCTAATGATTTTCAGTCTTTTTAAAGGAGAGTCCCCTTTCTGATGGGTACTCCTCCTGTTTGGGTACCCCCTTCCAGATGTGGAGTGGGGCAGGAGGATCCCCCAGCAGCTGAGGCGGCAGTGGTGATTCCTAAGTACCCCCACTTCTTTGTGCCGCAGCTGCATACCCCCTGGGACCTTCCCAAGTACTCCTGCTTGACAACCCCTGGTCTAATGTGTATTAACATGACTAGAAAAGAGTTCATCAGCGCAAAAGCACAGTAGTGCCAATTCGGGCGCATTTAGTACCTGTCATTATAGATACTAAACTTAATGTGCTGTAATTAGGGCGCATTAAAGAACATGTAGATGCGCCCACTGAGTATTACAAAGCTCCCCAGCTTGGGATGGGATCATGCCCTGCCCATGCATCTCCGCTTCTCAAAACCATTCTCTTTCTCACTGGTGTCCAGGCAATCAATTTATAGCACTTTGTCTTCTTTCCCTTGAATTGGGTTTATCACCAAGTATTACAATGCCAGGTGGCTGGTATTGGCTTGGAAAATCTAAAGTTCACACGTAGGAGTTAAAGCATTGTGTACTGCAGAGTTTTGCTGCCACTTGGGTGTTTGCCTAAAAATACTAAAGGTGGAGGTTGGGAAAGGAAAGAGTCAAATTTAAACTGTCACCATTAAGATACTAATATGCATATGGGGAATGAGTAGCGTGCTGTTTGTAGTGCTCCTAATATTCTAGTGAGTCCTGTTCAGGGTGATTTTTCACTGCGTTTTATGCAGTTGGTAACACCAGTAATATCAAAATTATGACATTTAAAACATGGGTGCTTTTATCTTGTTGTTTCTGACTCTCTTGGGTGCCTTATAGTCACATTTTAAGGTGTTTTTCCACTGCCACCAGGGCTTAACATGTATGCTTTTTCTTTTTAATAAACACTGAATTCTTGCCTCACCCCCTTGTCTTATGGATGTTTTATGAAAAACACCCAGTAGAGAGCTGGCAGTGCTGTACCCTTGTGTACCACTTATGAAACCGGGTCTTTTTCTGTTCTGTACGCTGCACACTGGAATGTGGAGGCTTCTTCCCATCTCTTTGCAAGGGGGAAGCAGCTGTGATCTTGTGCCCTGCACAGTGTTTCAGCATGAGTTGTCATATCCTATCTCTCAGGATCAGGAAGATGTTGCATTTGTTCTTTGGTGCCTTTCTTCATCAAGGCTGAGAAACATCGGGTGTTACTTTGAACTGTGTGACTTGAATTCTTTCCTAATGGCCAGCTCTAGTAACTGCTACTCACTCGTTAGAAAAGCTATCCGTTAGTTCTGAGGAGCTGGATCTGGAGGTGCTGGTCAGGGTTAGGGGGGCAGGGGTTGTCAGAGCAGCAGCTTGTGGGAGGTCCAGGGCTGCAATAGCAGGGAATGGGAGGCTGGGGGTCAGTAGTAAGGTGCATGGGAAGAGCTCTGTGTGGGCTCTGGGGTTGTGTTCTGGGACGTTGCAGGTCACGATCACGGTGCATAGGCAGAACTGGGGTGGAGTGGCTGGGTCTGCTCTGTGTAAAGAGAAGCGCACAGTGATTGTCAAGTTATTTTTGTTTCTTTTCATGCTTTCCAACCCACCTGTTACAGCGGAAAGACCCCAATCTTCTCCCAGATGTGGGAGTAGAAAGGACTCCTGGCTCTTTATACCCTTGATTCACTGTAACAAGCTCTTTCAGAGAGAACCCAAGAGCCCTGATCCCCCAACTGTCCTACTTTTCTTCTCCATCTCTTGCTCTCACTAAAATTGTGATCTCATTTCTCCCCACAGTAAACTCTGGAGTCAGCTACTAAATGCAGCAGGGTTAGTGCTGTTCAAGTACAGAGAAGGCTGGACTTGGCTTGGCACTTGACAGGCCTTCAGCTTGCGTTCCAAATCTATTGGCTTGGGATGCAATCCAGGTGTTGCCAGAGTTAACACACACTGCATCCTGGAGCTGTCACCATCCAGATGTTATGGAGAGGAGCAGTCATGATAGGATTTCACAGTAGAGCTCGGTCTGTGTGCTTGGGCATGATTATCTGTTTCTGACCTGGAAGGGTTTGGGATTGCAAATAGCAACCGAAGTGAATCGGCTGAAATGTGCATGGGCCAGGAGTGTTTTTGTGAGTGTGCGTGTGCATGAGCTGGGAGGAAAGATGTGAGGATTGAGGAGAACTGACAGAACCACACGTGAGACATTCGCACAGCCTCTACTCATTTTAAAGGCTGCATGCAGATGTTAAAAAAAAAGAAAAAAGCCACACTTTACTTCAGACTCGGTGTGCTCCTGCACCGAGCCCAGCATATGCCCAGAAGAGGCAGTTATGTTACTTGGACCTGACTCCCCTGATGTATATATAGAGCCAGACGCTTTAGTGGGGCCCTTTTGGTGCTTTTTTTCTAATAGCTGATTAAATCTGCTTTAGCGAAAAGCACCAAAAAGCCCTGCTGAAGCACCTGATCTATACAGACAGACAAGGTTCTTTGGGTAAATCTGATATCTTTTATTAGACCAAATCAAAAAGTTGGAAAAATTCTTCTTAGCTAGCTTTCAGGTTTAAAAATCCTTCAGACGAGGTGTTTAACCTGTGGTTTCCCATGTTTTTCTCCTTTAAAGGAGAATCCATTTTTAAAGTTTGTTGATCCATTTTTTTAAAGTTTGTTCACAGCCCTTTCATATATTTTTGCAACCTACATTTGGGTCGTGACCCATGGGTTGAGAAATGCTGCCCTAGGCTACAAGCCCTGCCACAGCCTCTGCTAGCTGCAGCTCGCAGCTTGAACTGCAACAGTTGGCAGCATCCAGTGTTGAGTTCAGAATTGCAGTGTGATTTCTAGTATAGGTAGAAATCCTAAACTATTGGGAATGCTTAAATTATGGGATTTGTGAGTTATACCTCTGGTTGCCAACTCCTGTGATATTCTTGTAAGACCTGCTCCCTGGGCACAGATCTACGCTGGTGATCCTTTCCATGGGCTTCCATGGCCAGCATGTGCCCCTTCTCTGTCCCTTAGAGGAGCCCCAGACCTCCTTGTTGGGTGCTGAAGTCTATTCTCTTGCCTCTCTGCTGCCAAAATGTATGCTATGTAAAACTTAAAACAATGAGGTTTGGTGATGGGGTGAGTGACAGAACTTTAACTATGGAGCCTGTACTTCCAAAATTACCAACTCACGAGACAGTCATTTCTTTCAAGGCAGTGTGTTTAGTGTTGAGTGCTGGTAGTCAGGATTTTTTATCCTTCCCTAGGTCAGGAAGGGGCTGTTTTCTCGAATGGGGGCTGGGATTCTCATTTCATTTTTTACACCAAGTTGTTTAATTGCTTCATTCTTCAATTTCCTCATTTGAAAAGTATGGGCTTGTGTTGCAGGGCTGCTTTGAGCATGATTTACTGCTTCTGAAAGCCCTTTGAGATCATAGCAGGAAAGACTGAGATGTTAAAGCCCACGTATTGTTTTAAAGGTTACTTAGCATCCTTTAGTAATTAAATGTCATCAATCAATGGCAGGAGCAGCTGGTGACTGCATGTGGCATGGAGATTGACATGGTTTTCCCATCATGCTAGTGTAAGCAGGGAGATATGGTGTTAGTATGTGGCATTTAGCTATGCGCAGAAAAAAACAGCCAATGTAAAGGATCTTCTGTCAGGTCTGGGCTCCCCAAGAATGTGCATGAGGCAGTGAATAACCATTAATGTAACAGCCATAAAAAAATCGAAATCTTGAAATTCAGTGTTGGGTTTCAAGGCTGGCAGCTGCATAGCCTGCTAGTTCACTTGGTAAGGCTGCTAGAGTGCAGTGATGGGGAGAGCCCACAGTGCAGACTGCACCCATCTTTCCAGGAGAGAGAGAGAGATACTGCACAGCAGGTGCTCACTATGGCCTTAAAGACTTGAGAGCACTGCTTTTCCATCAATGGCATTTAGCACTGGAATGGATAGTTTTCATCCAGTGATCTCAAACTATTTTGTGGAAGGCACATCAATTTAATTACTCTCACTTCATTGATGGAGAAACAAAGACGTCCAAGATTCACAGGGATCCTGGGTCTCAAATCTGTGCCCTAGCTCTGGGTCTGTGCTGCCTCCTTACTGAGTTTAGTGGAGTGGTTCATCTGAGGAGAACCACTCAGCCTGCATAAGGGATGAAGAGCAGAACAGACCTGTTTTCCCCCTCACAAAGTCATTCCTGGTCCAGGTGCC